CACCCCTGGGGGAAGCATGGGGGGCATGTGCTTCCTGGATTTGTGCATGAGGCAAGGGTGGGCTACCCCCTGTAGGCTGTGGCTGGGGGGTGCACTGGTTTCTTCCCAGTGGGGGAGTGGAGGAGAGGGCTTGATGTTGTGTAAAAAAGATACATATTACAAAAAGTAATCTTGTGTTACTTTTCCAAATTGCCATACCCTTGAATTCTTATGGGTATTAAAATATTTACATATACATATAAAAACTGTTCAGTTTTATAGTACTGTTGTATACTTGTAGCACCTCTAACTGAAGTGATTAGAGAGCATTGCGTTTTGTGAGTAATACATTCAAGCTCCTTTAACGTCAGAGGTACTGAAAAACTTCCTTCAATGTAATGGCATCTGCTCCTATGTCACAGCTAAGCAATACACTGAGGTTTGTCTTTGGAAATAAGAATATTAGCAGAATATTAGTATGATCAGTCTCTCGGTTTGCCTGTTGGGAAAACACAGGTGAACACGAGGCCAGTGCAGCTCTGACCTAATCAGATGACTGAAGTTCAGTGTCAAAGAGCAGAAAGTCACAGTATTCAGCTTATTTTTGTACTGGTGATACAAACAGGTGCTGAAAACAAAATCACTTGCTGTTTCCAGTCTGTTGATTCTTTTGTAGTTCTTAACTCAGTGCAATGTCAGAGGTTAAACAGTTTTGTTTTAGAGACATTGTTACTGATTAATTTTAAAATATCTGCATTGGACACTGAGCATGCTAGCATCTCCTACCACTGAAAGTTTATTGCAGGATGAATAGAGTAATTATATATACACATTTATGGGTCACAGCTAAGGCTAAGTAGGTAGTGATAGCTCTGCAATTTGCCCCAAGTACAAGCTCTATTATCCACAGTCCAGCACAGTCTGTCCCCACATTCACTCAGTTCTCAGCCTTCCCCCCCCCCCCAAAAGCATAACAGCCTCATCAGGAGCAAGGTGCATACTTCAGAATACAGTACACCTACTAGGTGCTAAATATGCATGTGAAAACTTTGTTTTAAAATTAGTGAAGAGCCTGTAAGTTCAGTTAGCTAAATCGATGTTGCCCAACTGCACAAAGTTCCAACTAATTTATACAATATTAACACACCAGTTAACAAAAAGCCAAAATATAGGCCTAGATATAAAACTTCTCAATAAATACTAGGAATTTGCTATACAATACTTTATGCTGAAAAACCTTGTTACAAGGTGAAGCAAAAGTCGCTTATTTCTTCCTGGTAAATCAAGCTGTCACACCTTTTGCAAAAGGTTTTTAAGTACTTGGCTGACATGTTCTTTATATTTTAGTAGCCACTTTCTATGTGCTGAGATTCCCTGAAAAAAAAAAAAAAAAAAAAAAAAAAAC